AGAAAAATTTTAGAAGGAAAGAGAGAGAAAGGGAGAGAGAGAGACTAGACTAAGGGGAATGGAGAAACAGATAGTTCGCCAAAAATAAAGAATAAACAATTTGAAGAGAGATAGATAGTGGGAAGGAGATAAAAAAAAGTTTTTTTTTTGTTTTTGTGTAAGAGAGAAAGAGAGGGTAGGAGGGAGAAGTAAATAAACAGATTCGCAAGTAGAGGGAACGAAAGAAGCGGAGAGAATTAGAAAGACGGAGAGATATAGAGAGAGACTGAAGGATAGGGGTATTTAAAAAAAGAGGTATATAGAGGGACAGAAAGAAAGAGAGGAGGGAAAAGAGAAAGAGAGAGGCAAGTAAGAAAGAAAAAGAAAGACAGAAATTGAGAAAAATATAAAACGGACAGAGAGTAGGAGAAAGCGAAATACAAAGTAGAATAGATAGCGCGTTATAGATACAGAAAAACCTACGGGCAAAGAGAGAAATAGAGATTCTGGAAAAGAGCACGTGAGACTCAATATGGAATTTTAGTTCATTCAGATTTATGATAAATTGGTCACCCACTGAAGTATAGACGTCTGCTCATTGACGACCTGTTAAACTAAATGGAGTTTATCTTGATTTTTGTGTTTTAATAAAACTTCCGGAAAATTTTATTAATTCCATAATCCTTCTTTGGTCTATTGCCTTGTTTTAAGTTTCTTTTCGATATTGAAATTTTCTATTTAGATAATTAGATAACAGACTTTTCCTCTACCAGTATCGCATTTTTTCTTCAGTCCCCTGGAGCATTTCAAATGCCATCGCTCCAAATTTCCCTTACCCTTCCATCCTTCTTCCTTCGTATTCAAAGCATGGGATCTCTTCGAGCTAATCCTTCCTACCATCCTGTCTATATGACTAGATCAACTCATCTTCCCACTTTTTGCAGCGATCCACTCTTTCCCAACTTGAATCACTGATTTATCTGTCTGTGGTCAGCTGCTTGCAACCACCTGAACTTTTTTTATGTTCTATTCAGAATGCTACAATTTCATAAGTGTGATTTCCACAAGTCGATTTTTTAAGCTTGTACTTCACAATATGTCGATCTTTTGAATATGTGTCATTGTCTAGACCCGTTGGGTACAAATTATTTGTCTATTTCTCAGAGGTTTTTCTTTCAAACAATCCAAAAATCCAAATGTTTTATCCCAACATTAACTTCAATTATTGTAGAAAAATACAAATATTTAAAGTTTGTGAAAAGCCTGTCTTGTGTAAAAAATTGATGTCAATTTTTCATGGTTTTTAAGGGTTTTTATCACGGTTTGAAGAAAAAAGAACAGACTTTATGACTAGATTATGCATTGTCATTATTATTTATATTGTTGTGTGTCAGGAAGTAAAATTGAATATAAACTATGTCTCCATAAAAAATCCAATTTTTTTTAGAAAGCGTGGTTTATCGTCGCCCCTCGCTGCTTTGTCCGATGACCGGCTTAAATCCCGAATAATGTAAACATCATAAAATATGTATTCAAAGCACAATATGCATGTTGATAAATGAAATACCCATTTTGCGAAAAATTATTAGGTAACAAAGTTTTCGTTTTGAAGATGATGTTTCATCATCTTTTTGCTGGTTTTCTTTAAATACGCGGTTTTTAATCAATTCACTTTTACGAAATATGAATCATTACGGATTTAGTATATTTAAATATGGAGGACAAATTATTTGCCTATAGGCTTTTTAACAATCAATAATTTATTTTACTAAGAGAAGAAAAAAGAATATATATATTTATTGTGCGGTATTTATGCAGGATTTAACACAACTTATTTCTTAAACATTTAAACATATTTGATTACAGCATTACACCAGAATAGTTGTTAATAAAGCACAACTTTAATAGAGATAGACTTACATCCGAATAGATAAAGTCTACCCTAATTTCCCCCGAAAAGGACTTCCTGAGTCTAGGTTCAACATTCTCTTTTTCTACTGTGGTTCTTACTAATAAATTCTGAATTTCCTTAATTTTGTTACATCCTGGTACAATATGATTTTACTTGTTCAAAATCCCAAACAGCGATAAATAACCGGAACAAATTTTAGAAACATTTAATTAAACACATTAGATAATCCCATTTTTATTATACAATCTGAAAGTTTGTTGCCAATTTTAATGCTACGAAAAAAAAAAAAAACTTTGTTTGCTATTATGTTTCAAATGAAAGTCGTAAATAAGAAAAAGGGTTGATCGTAAAATTAATATCAGACATCCTACATACCTACAGACCTTCTACATCGTTCAGCACCAGCAATAAAACGAACTAATAAAATTAAACGAACTGGTATTCGACAGGTTGTTTGCCAACTGTTTTTTCTAAAATACTATGAAATGTTAAAAAAAAGGGTACTGAATGGAGATTTCAGCTAAGATAATGTACAATGTTATATTAGACATGACCCATTAATCAATTTTAAGGGTCTTGCGCGTCAAAAATAAATTAATTAAAAATTAATTATTATTAAAAAGATTTACTACGCTATGGCAAGATGGAAATAGAAAAAAAATTGACTAAAATTATCCGGAATGATGATCAAGATTTTTTCGATGAACTACAGCAGTCGCAGCAGAGTCCCGCCAAGCAACACGTTCCTGTCGGTCGGTATGAAATTTTTTCGTGCAGAAAATGTTAATTTTTTAAAATTTATTTTCCTGATAAATTTAAATTTTACTATGAGCCAGTTATTGCGGATTTGACTCCATAATCTTATGAGTTCATCATAAAATTGCGAGGCGTGGTGCCTGTAGTCTTTTCAGTACTGTTCAGTCAAACGCGTTTCGGCTTGCCGTCATCTTCAGGGGTCGGTTTTAACTAAAATTATAATTAAAACTGAAGGAGTCACGAAGCCGATTCGAAATCAGCATGACAAAACTTTAGGGTAATTGGGAATTTTTTATTGCATTTAGCTGTCCAGATATGTGTTCTGTGTTTGTATGAGTGAGTGTATTTATTAGAGTGAATGGGGAGGGGCTGATGGTGGAATAGCAACCCCATCGCCCCTCGAGCTGTGACGTGACTTGGGTCGATGGCGGAATATTTATAAAAGTACCTCATCGACCCCAATCTAGGTTAGTTTATTATAGGGAATAGGTAGATGGAGGAATATCGAGTACTCCATCTACCAAACAGTATGAGTGCGATCATTGTATATAGGTATGAATGTATTTATTGGTGTGCTTGTGTATCGAGTGTGTAGCGGTATTATGTTAGTGCTTAGAAATGACCACGCTGTCGGATGCCCCTGTCAAAAAAAAGACAAAACTTCCAAGATAAAATTTAAACGGCTGATCAAAGACTTTCTATGATCCTTGATCCTCATCTGTCAGAAAGATTGAAACAATGCAATATAATTATAAAATATAATCGATAATCCAATAATCTCAGATTCCAATAAATCCAGAGCTTTCCTTCGGTAAATTCTGATGGTAGCAAAGATAGTCCAATATTTACAACTAGAAGTACATGTAATAAGCAAATTTAAGGATCTTTCGCTCAAATAACATAAAAGTTTGATAAATTTAAAACTATTCAATTTACTAAAATAATCTAAAGATGAAGATTACTTTCAAATATCATACAATTCTTCCAAATTTCAGAAAGGCACTATTTTTAAAACATTACTCGTTCTGAATTGATAATTTATAATCAAAATTTTTTTTTATTACTACTTGCGAAGCATGAAAATGGCATTTCTGAAAAATGATAATTCCAATAAATCCAGAGCTTTGATTCGGGAAATGCTGATTGTAGCAAAGATAGTCCAGGATTTACAACTAGAAGTACATGTAATAAGCAATTTTAAGGATCCTTCTCTCAAATAACATAAAATTTTGAGTAGAAATGTGTGGTGATTAGTGACCGTTAATCCATAATTATTCAGAAATCGTGAGATGCGGTCTGGTGTGATGTAGGTTTCAGAAAAACATTTTCTTTATCGTGCCAACGTTTCGATCTTTATTGAGATCATCTTCAGGGCTCAAAGTGTTTGTCTTCTGTGTAATTGTGCCATTCTACTGCCAATAGTAGTTGAATAGTTCTCAACACGACACGCAAGAATGGTACAATTACACAAAAGACAAACACTTTGAGCCCCGAAGATGATCTCAATAAAGATCGAAACGTTGGCACGATAAAGAAAATGTTTTTCTGAAACCACATCACACCAGACCGCATCTCACGATTTTTGAATAAATAAAATTTTGATTAATTATCAAAAAGTTTCAGATGTCATGACGTGACTGGAAAATTTAAAACTATTCTATTTATTAAAATTACCTAAAGACGAAGATTACTTCCAAATGCCACAAAGGCACTGTTGTTAAAACATGACTCGTTCTGAATAGATAATTTATAATCAAAATCGATGTTTTTATTACTACTTGCGAAGCATGAAAATGGAATTTCTGATAAATGATAAACGCAGAATTCAATAATATTTCTCTTCCCTTTGAAGCGTGCATCGTTTTAAACTTCTCATTTTACTTAACTAATGTTTATAATAAACAATTCAAAGTAATCTCAAAATTTGTTTACCGTGTTTGACAAAGGTTTGTTTGCTTCGAAGGTTCCGTGATATTGCTTTAGAAGAAAAAGTGTCAGATCTGGCAATTTGTTATTTTTCTTAGAAACACACCCTCTAAATATTGTTTATAGCCAATTTAAGGAAAGTAGTTGACGTTTCTGAGGTTTACGAGTGTATCATGGGTGAGAAATGCCCAATAAAAGACGTCCTAGCACTAGTTGAAAACACACTTGTTACCCGTCCTAACCGAATCCTTTACAGGAGAAAGGTCGGTAAATAATACGCAGTAGTGATTTTGTTCTGATGCTGTCCATCGACTTTGTTTGTTTTTAGGTTATTTATTTGATTCTTAATAATTTTAGTTTGATGGAAAAATTTCTTCCGAAAGTTTGGTTGTGCTGGTTCAAGAATGCATTCGAATAATTGATGTCATCTGTTTTAAAATATTTTTAATCTCAAAAATGTATGTAAAACGATTGAAAGTATGAGTTTTGCCTTTCGGACACCGGGCGTTCCGCTGTTCTGCAGCAAGCGTTTCGACCATCGCAATCCCTCGTACATGTTGGCATACACTGACGGATAGGACATCTCGCCGCAGGTCGGCCCCCAAGCGACCATCCCGTAGATGTAGTTGGAGCAAAGGAGCGGACTGCCCGAGTCGCCTCTGCACACGTCGCCATTTTTCCCCAATCCGCAGATTTGCTTTCGGTCCTGCAGATTGTGGATGCAACGCCATTTCGGACTCTTGCAGAGAGCCGCTTCGCATTCTTCGAACGTTAAAAGAGTAATATCGAAAATTTTGACGATTGTGAAGATCTTGTGATTGGTTTCGGGGATCCGCTGTTCGCCCCAGCTGGCGACATAGCAGTTCTGCTTGTCGGTGACGTTGAACGTCTTGTGTTTAATCAGTTCCATGTCGGCCTGGCGGATGGAAATGGCCCTCAGGCTGTCAGTGAGGAAGAACTTCTCTTTAAGCACCAACAGCCCGTAATCGTGCGAGTAGCCGAAACCGAGATCGTCGCACTTTTCGTGACGGTGCATTTCCCGTATGAGCCTTGCCTGTCCTCTACCCGCCGACACGTCGCCGCCAACGACGACAAGAGTGCTTATGTTGAACGGTTTGAAGTCCAGAGCGTTGTAAAATTCACCTGTACAGTGGCAAACCGTCAAGACGTGAAGAGCTGTGATGACCGTACCGACGCATATGTGCAGCCTCGCCTCCAGATTCTGGATGCTGACGGTGAATGAAAACATTTTCTTCAACGCGGAAAAGTTGTGCTGATCACCGACTTGTCCTGGAAGACTGACATCCTGATATTGCGACACCGTGTATGATAATAGGCAAATAAATATCAAAAAACTACAATGGTTCATTTTGTAAACGTTAGATTTGGAGAAATTACATAATTACACTAAACTCTCATATGTTTAAAAAAATTGAATACAAGGAGATGTTTGACTTTATTTTACTACGTTCATTATTTGTATAATTCAAGAAAGATCGGACAAAATTTACTCGAAAAAGTTTCCGCTATATTTCTATTGATTTTTCATCGTTATTATTACCAGTACAGTCCTAACTGACCCAGGATTTTGCTGTCCAACGTCGGTCACCCAACTCATCATGGAGGTAATAAAACCAGCGCAAACGTCTTCGAGAAGCAGGTCGATTGAAGAGCAGTAGCCTCTTGGGCAGCCTTTCCTTTAACATACTTTCCTCATGACTAACCAGCGGAGCTCTTTGGATATGCTTTATAATATCTGATACATCTGGTAAAGTTCGCTGTCATGTGATTGTACAGTCCATTCACCAGGTTAGAGCCAATTCATTTCCTGGGGTCCTTCCTTTCCCATTCACCTAGCATCCTTTCTTGATTTTTCGGCAAAACCCATGTTTCACAAGCATACTTGCCACTGGTTTTATTATAGTTTTGCAACTAGTGATCTTGGAGTGATGTAACAGGTTCCGGAAACGAACACCTTCACTAGAGCAAACAGGCATCTGTTGTCTGCTGATTTTATCTCTGCTTCCACTTCGTTTCTGCCAGTCACAATCGCTCCCAGATTTTTAAAACAATTCGAACTAGGGATGCCGTTTTCTCGTTAATCGCACAATTTCAGGTTTTAAAGGTGGATTTCTGGTTGTACAGTCCTAACTGACCCAGGACTTAGCTTTCCAATGTCGGTCATCCAAATCTGTCAGACCATCGTTGAGTTAATAAAGGCAGCGCATTCGTCGTCTTCCTCACATCTGAGACCCACCAGGTCGATGGTGCGTGATTTTAAGGCAAAACCCATGTTTCATAAGCAAGCCGTGCCACAAGTCTTATAGTTTTGCAATTAGTGATCTTAGAGTCATGTAACCCATTCCAGAAACGAATAGCTATCACTAGAGCAAAGAGTCATCTGTTGTAGGCTCTTTTTATCTCTGCTTCTACTTCGTTTCTAGTAATCACAAACGCTCCTAGATATTTCAAACTCTCCGCAGTAATAAATACGCGCTCATTAACCACACTATTTCAAGTTTCATGGAGGGATTCCTGGATGTCTGCACGGACGGATTTATCCTCGTTGACCTTCAGGCCTATGAGCTTTGCTTCCCTTCTAAATTCTTCCAGGGTCTCTTCTGCTGCCAACTCCCGTTATGATTATGTCGTCAGCGAATGGTATGTATGCCTAACCATCCCTGAGGGGTTAAATGCCTGGGTAGACTCGTACCCCATCCCTAAAAGGTCCGGGACTTGGCCGGCTCACATGTCCTGCATAAACCTCTTGGACCTGTTCACAAACCCAAAGATTTTGGACTATTTAATCTCGGGTAGTGATTTGGTGATGTCCTCTCCTTCAAAGATTTCAAATCTAGACCTAGCATACCTATCACACTCTGCGAGGTAGTGCCTTTCCGTTTCTCTGACTGGCTGGTAGTTAGACCTCCTACATGACAGGAAAAAAGTGTAAAATTGTAAAAATACAGGGTTGGTAGTTTAAAAGTTACTTTAATTAAGAAAATCGTTTGCAGAATTTGAATTTCACCCTTCCTTTCGCTATCAAACTTGTTTTCATGAGTAAAATAGGTGCAATTTTGCCTAGTATCTTAATTTATATCAATAAAATGATAATATAATTGGTTTCTTCCTGAATGAACACCACAAAAACGACCCATAGAACAACAATAGGAAAAAAAGGAGTAGATTAAATAGCATTAATAAATAGTAGTAATTCAAAGGCGATAAGCGTATTTTTGCCGTATGATAATGAAGTGTTTTTCATTACAGAACATTTGTATACAAACAACTGAAAAAGATTCCATAGATGAAAATTAATTTACGGCTCTGTTTTATTGTTCTAAAGAAGATACCAAATGCTAATCGAGATCGCCGCCTACTTTTTCCGAAACAGCCGCCGGTAAATCAACCGAGGCGTGACTGAATTCATTGTAACGCCCATGAGTGATGTCATCTTTGTCTCCGAATTGATAGCCTATCGTGGGGAATTAATTTAATTTATGTTTTAATAGTTTCTCCGCCGGGTGATAGATGAGGTGCCTTCGGAAATCAAAAAAAGGCGGGTCGTTACGACCAGATTTTGACAAATCTTCCTTTATGAGGAGGATTTGCAAGCAAACGTGACGAGCGGCACCTATGCGATTTATGGTGTTATAACTCTTCGTTTCTCCTCCTACGTTTATATACGGCTCATCATATAAGATTTCATATGAAGGCAGTCTTTTAGACAATTTTGCAAAAAAAAATTGGACTAAAAGGTAGCCCTCTTTTATTGTATAGTTTTGCGCAGACATTTATTCCAAATAAGAACGCAAAAATTAATCTGTCAGCACTTACATAAATTACGCTCGCTTTAAGATTATAATGGCTTACACTCATCCCTGAATCCTTTTAAAAAGGTAGTTCCTTCCCACAGTTAGTTGTTTTCAACGATACGGATTTCAAGCTTATAGCGCATCAGCAGGTTGAAGGAGTAGTCGTACAACCCGTCTCTCGACATGAATTGTAAGACTGATTGGATCTACTACCTGATGATGAGCTATAAGCTTGAAATCCGGATGAAAACAACTAACTGAGAGTAGGAACTATCTTTTTAAAAAGATGGAACAACGCACTCAATCCACCACTTATCATTTCTACTCATACCTGAATATTATTCCAAAACATTGTTAGGCTAACAGTTTATCTGATGTTGTTAAATAATTTGTTCTCCATCTAATGTAACAAGTTCTGTAGTTTAGTCGTTTCTGAGCATTTTGATCTGCCTACCTTTTGCTAATTTGGTTTGTCAGGCGCGTTTTGGCTAATCACCATTTTCATTAATCAGTCCGTATATTGAAGATATCGGAAAGCTAAAGTGCGTTGAATTGACCAAAACTTTTTTTGGTTCACAATTTAACAAATTTGAGACAGATCGCCTTAAATAAATTTCCTCTAGGGCATCTACAGCACCGAATTTAATTGTGAACTTATATGTTTTATGCTAATTATTCATGTATGATATTAACTTTCAACTAACTATAATTAACATAACCATTCAAAATACATTACCAATAATTAACATTCAAAGGTGAAAAATTAAATTTATGTTTTGTCAACTTCATTTTCATTTGCTGATTCATCAAATCTATTCGTTTGTATGAAATAGGCGAAAACCATTGAAAATTGGCTCAGAAAACGATACAATCTGAAAAATCGCCTTTGTTTTTAAGTATAATTGTTATTTAGCTTTTTTTATTTGAATTAACGTGTGTAGAGATTAGTCACCGTTAATCGATAATTATTCAGATATCGTCAGATGCGGTCTGGTGTGATTTAGGTTTCAGAAAAAGATTTTCTTTATCGTGCCAACGTTTCGATCTTTATTGAGATCATCTTCAGGGCCTGGGATTTACAAACGTTGTTTACATATAACAATTACATTTGGGATGTGGAAAAGTGAATTTATACAATGCAAAATATATTTTTTATATATTCAATCAAAGTATTTCTACTCCCCCCCAACATAACACCACACACAACTCTATCAAAGAACACGTTCGTAACAATGATCCGACACTGCTGTGTTAACGGATATTTTACTACTTCCTCACAAAATACGTAGATGATATATTGACAGCAGTTCCCACAGATCAAATTCAAACTACATTAGATACATTTAATAGCTTTCACCCACGCCTACAATTTACACATGAAATCGAAGACAACAAAAAAAATGCCATTTTTATATACACTTGTAATAAAACAACCAGATGGCACATTAATCACAGATTGGTATCAAAAACCAAGAAACACAGATCGCTACCTNTTTTTCTGAAACCTAAATCACACCAGACCGCATCTGACGATATCTGAATAATTATCGATTAACGGTGACTAATCTCTACACACGTTAATTCAAATAAAAAAAGCTAAATAACAATTATATTTTGACTTAAAAACAAAGGCGATTTTTCAGATTGTATCGTTTTCTGAGCCAATTTTCAATGGTTTTCGCCTATTTCATACAAACGAATAGATTTGATGAATCAGCAAATGAAAATGGAGTTGACAAAACATAAATTTAATTTTTCAACTTTGAATGTTAATTATTGGTAATGTAATTTGAATGGTTATGTTAATCTCTCTCTGTTTCTTTTGTTTTAGTCTGAGTAGTTTTAGAAAAAACTTGACACCCTTTATATAATTGTTATAACAGAAAGAAATGTGGAGAAAAGAGTACACAAAAGTTGAACTAGTAGAGAGCCTTGCAAATACCTACCTTGGCTATGCACTGGGAAACTTGTTAATTCGCAAATTGTTAAAATCTTCAGGAATTCTCCTGTCAAGAAATATAAAAAAGTTATAGGAAGTCAAGAAGGTAGAATATTTACGCAACGATAATTTTTAAATGCTATGAACAGAACCGATCGAACCAGGACGTGCAGTAGTTTAGAGACGATAGGTATTTCAAATATCCCAAACAGATAAACCCGGCGAATAGGAACACTTATTTAAAGTTCATCCTTAATCAGTATTTCTCGGATCGAAATTCCTTCAGAGGCGAAGCCCTTCCTCAAGTCGACGACATTAGCTAGATGGTATTTGCCAACAGGAAACCTTCATTATCCAAGCTGTTAATAAAAAAATGATTTTGGCACCTTTTTTTAAATTTCCAAATCCAAAAGATTTAGATCAATGAAGTTCTGTAATGCGGCGTCTCGAACGTGTTCCAATAAACCGTGTTTGGCAGTGTCCTTGATCCGAATCATGCGCTATTGTCACATTAAAAAGACATTAATGTGTAGGAGTACGAGCGGGAGGCTTAACGGCTAAGGATATCGGGTTTTGAAACACCGAACGGCAAAAGGATTTTCTCGATCTCACGGATTTGAGGTTAATCGTAGGACGGAGGGGGGGAAATTGGGATTATCTTGCTGTTTTGTATTTAGAAATCGAGTTTGTTTAATCTGCCAGCCAGTTCGGTCTACGTGTAAGCAGATTAATTTATAAACACAACAACTAAAAACTTATCATTTTTCCTTATTTTTAGATTTCGATTTTCTTTCCAAAACATTATCTTTATCGCCCAAAATGATAGTTCATGAAAAATAATTAATTGAAAAAAAGACCAAGTTCAAAAATCTAACACTAGTTCAACGAATAAATTATAATATTTTCTAATTTCTATTACAAGTTCATGAGATAAATAGCAAATTATTATATACATTTTGAGTAAATAGTGAATAGTAACACAGAGAAAATAAGGGTTGTCTTATACAAGAGAAAAGTAGTAAAAATAAACA